AACTCTTTTACTATATTCACCTATTGACATGCTTGAATTAATCTAGTTACTTTTTACATTAAACAAATATGAATCATCTTATAAAACATAGTTTGAAGTCAAAATTAAATGACCACTCCTCGTTGACTTTTGGAAATAAAATTAGCCAATTTACTACATTAGATGAATGACATTAATAGTATAGAAATAAGTGTGACCCAAAATAATAATATGTTTAACACTCACTCACTAGGGGTTCAATTTTTTCAGGATAATTAGTGTCCCATTTGAACCTATTCAACTGGACTAATACATTTAAATTTTCTTTGTATATTGTTGCTGTGATGACTAAACTGAAATACGTACAGGAGTCTTTTACGCATAGTAGTAAAACATAGCTACATTAATTTGAGTAATTGCAATTTTTAAAACAAAGAAAGCTCAGGATAGTATCCCAGCTGCTACCTTGTTCCTGTCTTAGTTTTATATTTGGTTAACACTGGATTCCAATAATGAACAGCTCAATCTATTCAAAATAAAACATGGCTGCTTTTTTTTCTCTAAGAAAGACCCATGGCACCTTCCTGGCTTTGGGGGATTGTCACAGTTCATCGATGATGGAATTGGCACTAGGTTGCAGCAACAGTTGGAGGTCTGAACAACAAGCAGTGTCCCCAGAAAATATATGAGACTGTTACGAATCCATTACATTGTCCCATCAAAAAGCCATACCTTAAGCAAGAGGACTGTATTCCCAGTTTCTGTATAAAAAAAAAAAAAGTCCACAGCTTTCCAAAAACTGAACACAGGCATTTACCTCAATTTTCTTCCCACAATTTTTACAATATTTAACTATGCATTAGTTTTTTTTTGCTGTATATTTTCAGTTTCTCACTTTACTTTTTGTCTAGTATTTCAGTCTGATTCAGTAAGACTAGACAGACAGACAAAGGATTTGCCTACTGGTGAGACAATGTGTAACCCACGATACAGATGCAGCATCTGGCAAGGACGAATGTCTGATTCTCACACCCTACAGTTGTCTACTCAGCAGAATTTTAAGGTGGATTCAATACCACAAAAAACAAAACCTTTCTTTGGGTTTGTTATTGGGTTCTGAATCTTTCAAGTAACCATCTTTTGTCTTTTTCATTAGTAAATTTCAGTGGGTTGTCTTTTTGCCTCAGTTTACAATATTCTTATGTGTATCTAATTTGATTGTAAGATTTTAAAGAGGCACCTATAACCTAGCATTACAAGGTTATTTTGGTATTTGCAGTATACGAAATCAAAAGTATGAGTAATGCTGAATATCTACTTGCTCCGTAACTTCTCAGAAAGAATACATTAAAAAGAATATTTGACCTTTTTAATGCCAACAGCCAGAAAGCTGAACATTTTCATCATATTGAGAATGTCTACTGACTAACAAAAAGGACTGCACTTAGCACTGCTCATTTGTAACACTAGAAAAACTGAATTTGTCATGCTTTAATCCACGGCAGAGGGACAGCTTCTCTGCCAGCTTCACTCTGTATGGGGACAGGGGAATTGGGAGGAAAGACATGGGGAGGTCCTGTTGTCTGAGCCCACATCTTTGTAGTGGCAGCTGAGGGGTTTCACTGAAACTCCTAGAATTTACATTTTGTTTGGCCGGAGGGGTCACATGACAGCTGCAAGCGAATGCTCTGAGGGCTTTCTGCTTTCACTTGACACTGACAGCGCTGTGAGACGGTCCAACACCACAGAGAGAAAATATTCCCTCTTTCCATGACATCACCCAGCCAGGAATGGGGGGAAGTGGAGGGAGGAGAGAGGGCACAGCTGGTGGCAGCCGCAGTACCATCTGCTACTGACTAATAGTTCATGCTGCTTTACTTATAAACTTGCACTTCTTATGAACCAGAGTGGTGGGCTGTATAGCCACCATCACAGAACACATCACACAGATAAATTTGAGACTGACAGTCATGATTATAATGTTACATTACTCAGGACAACCATGTATTGATTCATTTTTTTCGTTTTGGAAAATATGCTTTTACACTTTTTTGCCTCATTTTAAATGAGGAGATTAATACCACTGTCATGTCTGTTAAACATGAAACTACAGTCAGCAGTGAATCCATACAAACACCTAAGTGAAAATGACCGGCTGTGGTCTTTATGGGGGGGGGGGGGCTCCTTCCGTTCTCACCTATTAGAATATTATTCAAGACAAATAACGCTTGGGTTAAAACTCACACATACAAACGTGAACTTACCGTACATCTTTCCCTCATCAGAAAGGATGATCTTCCTGCGTCCACAAGGAGGATAGATAGCCAGGGCCTCCTGGAAGCTCTGTTCAATGTCAGGGCTCCACACCCCCTCGGCATCATTGTCTACGGGCTTGTCTGCCGAGTCGCTCATCCTCTCCAGATCCTCGGCAGGGCTCTCACTGCCGCTCCAGCTGCTGGGATCAATCGTGGCGGTTGGGCTCTCCAAGCTTAAGCCTGGAGCAGACTAGGGAGAGACCTGGAATTCCCAAAGAAACAAACACAACCAAGATGTCATTCTCCACAACAGAACAGCGAACATCTGCTTCTAAAAAAAACACTGTTAGTTGAGAGCACAATATGGAGCAAAAGCAGCCAAACAAACTTGAACATCACCAAGAATGTTGTTGACTTGATTTACAATGGATGTTATGGGTTTAAACAATTGAAACATTTTCTCTCATGAACTTGTGGCACTTCCTTCTTATTAAGTGACAGAACAAAAAGGTTAAAAAAATCATTCAAACTTGTTTAGAGATCAGATAAATACTTCAGACTATGATGGGAAATGCATTCCATGCCCAATAGATGAGGTGAGTCCACAAATTTGTACATACCTGTAGCTCGCAATTTGTTTTTGAAATTAAGTTTTCTACCCTCATTTAACATTTTACAAGCTTTATCACGCCATAGCCAACCTAAAGTTGCCACTTTAATCTGGAGCGATAAATCTGGGTCAGGAAATGAGAGGGCAGCATTTGACACTCCCTCATTACCACCACTGCCGAGGTTCCCTTGAGCAAAGGCACTTGATCTCCAGTGTAAATGTGTGTAACTCTGTGATTGCGAAGCAAGGCATTTCATCAAAAAACATTCAAGTTCAGCAACACTATGCTGCAAAAATGAAAGTGGAAAAAAAGTATTGTGGCTACTAATCTGTAGAGCTCACATCACCAGTCAGCCACAGCCATCACATTATGATAGCATACAGACATCAGACACTCAAGCAACACAGAGAAGCCAGAGGAGTTTTTTCCTAAGTAGACTGGAGACCTGCAGGCATTACAAGAAAACTGCCATTAACAGACTACAGCACAATTCAAGAGCCAGTCCCCTTTGTTCGTCTTACCAAGCTGCTCACACAACTGGAGAAAGTCTCATCTCACCAGCAGCTTTTGACAAGACCAACAAGCTAGATGAATCTGCAGCTAATAAACTGAGGGCTGTATCATTATGCGGTGACTAAATCAAAAGCAGAAATGCGTAACATGTCCAGTAACATAAACCAGCAGACTATCATGCATATTATGGGCAATGATTCTTACACAATACAACTTCATGAATGTACACATGTGACTAATCATAGCATTTTATTGGGTACCAGTGAAGCATGTGTGTGGTAAAATGAGTTTAAGCAATATTACAGTTAATATACACTGTGTGGCCTTCATGAATGGAAAGCAATCTGAATATAGTGGTGTTAGCAGCCACAGAGTCCAACCCAGGACTTCAAGAGACTTTATTAAGGTGGTTAAATTACATAAGAAGGAGACATCAGAATAGGTTCTGTGTTGATCATTTCCATTATTGTCATTATCATGTAGAGGTTGAGTTTATACTGGTACGATTTCCATGGTAGAGTTGGCAGCATGGAAATTACCAACATGAAACACAAGGTAACAAGTTGGTAAGGGGTCGAATGTAGGTGTCCATGTAGCTCTCATTTGACCAACAAGTGAAGAGGAAATACTGTGATAGGTTGTGTAAACACGACTTGTTTTGGTTCATAGCTGCATTTTTTAGGTGTTCAGTGCAACTGTTAACTGCTCCCGCTTCACTCACGCTGGGAGACCTGAAGTGTTATGTTAGGCTTTATGTATATTTCCCATAAACATAGTAAGAACATGAGTGTATATTGGGCTGTGAGCCCTGTCAAATGTTTCTGTAAGCACAAAAATTCTGTGGCCGAACAAATCTAGTGTACACATTGATGGAGGACTCCAGCTGTTGCTGTTCTGCTGATGTGCTGCTGTCACTGCAAAGGCAATTTATACTACACAAAATGTAAGGTGACCCTAGCACTCTTCTGGTGTGAAATTGTGTGATGCTGCCCTGCCACTGAGTTTTACTTCCATGCAATCTAAGTCAGTCTAACACTGAGTAACGTAGCTACTGTGTATGACTTTTTATCTATCAGCTCAGAATGAAACAAAGACTTAACTTTCAACATAAAACAATCTCAGAATTTCTGCCAACTGCCAAGTAGCTACTGTCTTTACCCTTAACTCAATTTTAAAATACTGTTTTACTTCCTTTACAGAAAAATCACTAAGGTTTTTCTCCTTTCTTAATCTCTCCACTCTTTCCAGACAACTGCTTCCTCCCTGAGCAAGATCCTATTCAAGCAGCACAAGCTGTCAGGAAGTGGGAATAGTAGCATATGTTTCTTCCAGCATGTCAGTTCATGAGGGGGAAAGGGGGGATGGGAGCAAGCTGTTGGGGGAAAAAAACACTCCCAGAGAGCAGAGAGAGCTTTTACTGAATTCCGTTTTTGTGTGCTGACTGCTGACACTGCAGAACTAACTCACAAACTGATGAGGGAGGGGAAAAAATTCCCATTTCAACCACTAAAAGGCTGGGACTCTTTCTAGATGTGCTCCTCTCATCCCAACCAAATGATGAACTGCGCTGGTAATCACTTCCACCTTACATTTTCACAGCAAGATGAGCTTCTGAAGAAAATATTTGTTTCTACCCTCATGAGGTCCAAAAACAGAATTACAGTGTTTGTAAAAGCTTAAGTCAAAAATGCAATTAGGTTGCATTGATATTTTTCTCAAAAGTTGCTTTCAGTATGTTTTAATAAGTATCTATAATGCCTAATCTAGTCTAATAAGTCTAGTGCTTTTTTATGAATTTTCTAACAAACATATTTTGTAAATCCCTCTAATCCTTTTATGAAAAATATCAATTTTCTACAAATTTCCAACAATTTTCATTTTTATGAGCACTGGTTATTTTTTCTTGCTATGGTTCATTAACGTTGATAAAGTGATACTTTAAGTAGTCCTTGGTGACTCTGTGGATCTCCCCATCAAAGCAGATTGATTCTTATACACCAATGTTTCCCTCCTTTGCCAGTGCTTTATTACAACACCTCACCAGGAAATTATTACTATTACAGTAGCATGCAATGAATTACAGTATAACTCCACTCACTATCTTATCTGACCATAAGTCAAACATATCAAGAACTACATCAATATTAAATAACTACTGCTGCTGAAAAGTGTTGCTTACAAAACTATAAAAGACCAATACAATGCCTATTCAATGTAAAGCTGTAAAAGTCAAAACTGTTGAAGTAGCTAGATCACTGAGTATGTCTACAATCACTCTGCAACACATGTACGTCAATACAGATGTTACTCCATAAACAATGGTTCTCCAGAGGGCTTTTCTCTACTTTGAGATCAAATGTGTCTTCTGGATGCTGATCATTATCTGAGAAAACTGAAACAAGTCATCTAATACAAACAACACAACAAACCAGACATCACCAGATAAGCTGACTCTTGACTTCCAATCCACTATTTAAAGAAATAACTGCTCTGATGATGTTTTGTGCACCATCACATAATTTCCTGATCTGTAATAATAATCTGTAATATAATCATGATTGGGGCAGCAGGTATGCTGTTTTCCTACTTATTTCAATCTGTTTCTTTGTTATCTGAGTAATGTTTTCTCAGAATTTCTTGTGGATTAAACAAATTGTCTGCCACAGTCTGGCAGTTCTACTGTTCTACTTCATCCTGATCCTTTATTTAACACTTTGGGAATATATTTTCAACAATTTCAGAAAGTTTAAGTAATGGTAACACTTTGAACTGAAAGACCTAATTCAACTTTAGCTGCAAATAGCAGATGTTTGGAGAGTGTGCAGATTTATATGAACATGAATAAAACATGGGTGCAGACTAATGCAATTTAACATTTATAAATAATTTATTGAAGGATTTAAGCATTACGGTCAACAAATATATAAATTATTAGCAACATGATAAGAACTTTATGAGTTTCTACAAAATGTTATGTAACACTACATGTGTTAACATTAGATGTTAACACATTCAAATAATTGCTACTGCTTCATATAATTTGACAACTAACAAAGTTAATGTCTTTACCAACAGTGTATCACTCAGCTACACATAGTTAAATGAATCTTTTTATTGTAATTGAATAAACCACTAACAAATAAAAAATTATATAGTGCAGACACATACTGTATACTGTAAGTGTAGATTTGTGAGACACTGCACTGCAGAGAATCCAAGATATCTTATTTTTTGGATGACTGACGAAACTATCCCAACTGTTTTCACTCATTCAGCTCTTGCTCCTTGATGCTACACTGTCAAACTATAAATTTTGCTAAAACATTAAACCATTACCAACATATAATGTGAGATGTGCTGGATTATTGAAGAAAGAAATGACTGTTTGCAATGAAGAAGGAAAAGGGTGTGGGGTAAGGTTGTTCATGTGTCCACAATATATGGGAATGCATAGGTCTTCTTTAAATACCAGTACGAGTAAACAGAAAATCAACATATAGGCCTATTGATCTATTAAACTAGTAACACTGTTATCTATATCTTATCATGCCACCTGATAATGGGGTTTGCTGACTTGTCCTCATACAAATACTGAAACAATACAGAATAAAAGTCATCCCCATCCTCAATAGATTAGTTTCTTTGTATCCCATGACATCAATTGGATGCTTTTGCGATGTGCAACATGTGAATAACCTAGCAGCGTTGTCATTGAAGACAGTCTCTTAGTGCCTTAGAATCTGCGGACTAATGTGTGTCTGTCAAAAGAAGGTATGAATGTCACCCATAGAAACACTTGTGGCTTACAGATAATTGCATACTTCTGTCTTTGGAAGGTGTACACCATAGAAATGGTCTTATTTGTGAGATGCGGGGTAAAGATGGCCCGCAATGCAATAAGTGAATGTGGTAGCTAAGCAGAGTAGTAGCTGTGACATGGCATTATGGGAAATTACACTTACTGTGAGATTACATAAACCACTCACCAAGCTGGAATCCAGCTCCTTAAATTAAGAGAACCCATTTCACCCATCAGACAGAGCAAGGTAATGAAATAGCAGATGAGAGGTCTCAAATGTAATTTTCCATGTGGAGTTCTTTTGTGCCGTTATCTCAGAGGGTGCAATAATGATTCTGT